AATTAAGCCTTTAATAGTTTCTGGCCCTAGTGGAGTTGGCAAAGTACACCATTATTTTATTAAAGGGATCATTAGTCACCAGATTGCTATAAAATAGCCAAAACTTTGTTTACAGTGTGAGTCTGACTACTAGAAAACCAAGACCTAATGAGAAGAATGGTGTCAATTATTATTTTGTAAATAAAGATGTTTTTGACGAAAATATCAAGAACAATGAGTTATTATAGTTTTGTGAAGTTCATGGAAATCTATATGGCACTGCAAAACATCAAATAAACAATATCATAAAATAAAATAAAATACCTCTCATAGAAATAGATGTTTAAGGAGCTGAAAAAATAAATAAATAATTGAATAACTAATGCGAGAACATATTTGTATTACCACCATCTATCAGCATTCTAAAAAAAAGATTAATTGGAAGATAGACTGAGACATCTGACGTTGTAGAGAAGAGAATCAAAAACGCAGAAACTGAAATTGAAAAAGCTAAATCTTTTTAATTTTATCATTTCATTGTTAATGATAATTTTGAAACGTGTTATTAAGAGCTCCTTGAGTTTGTAAACAAAAAATATTAAAACCTCTGATTATTATCTATAAATTATTCATGAAAAACGATGATTGCTTCATTAATAAGAAGTGTTAGTATTTTATAATACAGATGTTAATTATAAATAAATATGAACCATATTCAAAATATAAAATTGATCTCATTATTTTTGAAATATTAATTTTTTTAGAGTTTTTGAATCAAAATTAGAATATTTTTATGATAAGATTTCAAATTAAATCTTCATTTTTGGTTTTTTGGTATATCTTGTGAAAAAGTTTCATTTATGTTAATCATTTAATGATATTTATTATTTCATCAAAAAAATCTCTATTTTTAGAGTAATTTAGCTTATTATTAATTTTTCTCCTCCTTTGGCTCCACCTTTATCTGCCATTTATTTTTATTTATATCGTTTTTATCAATTAAACCTAAATATCAATAATAGTATCTATTGAAAATGTTAAAACTCTCTTCCTTTCGCTTTAGGACTGTACCACTATTTATTTGATTTCAATAAATATTCTTTTCCTTTACATAATTAAAAAAAAAGTAAGTGGAAAAACAATTAATGACAAGATTCACCAAAGATTTGGTTTTATTGTATCAATTTCTTATTGTACTCTTGTCAATTGAGGTCTATAATTTCAAATTTATATAAATAGATAGCTTATTTATTCAATTTACTATTGGAAGTTATACAAACATTTATATACTTTATAGTTAATATTGCATTAATTATGTAATGATTTTTTACCTCCTTGTTTGTTTTACACATGCAGCTATCACCAAGAAATCTTTGAAAGGTCATCCAAATTAATTACTAGCTCATATAATTATATAACAAGTATTTAGCAATTGATTTTGATTTTGAAAGGGGGTCTGCTATGGGATTATTAAAAGAAAAGTATAATATGTTTTATCAATTAGTCTACTAAAAAGGGTTCAACGAGTAAACAATCACAAAAGACAACATCTTCTTGATTTGGCTTTAAGGAGGTCCTGGTTGTTCATCACAGAGTACATTTTATGAATTGATTGGTCCATTCCACATTGAAAAATCTGATGCTGAGTTTACAATTCAAAAAAAAGATAATAGTTGGAATGACTTTGCTTCGATTTTATTCGTTGATCGACCTTTTGAACTGGATTTAGCTAAGGGGATATATCAATTAATTCAACATTGCAAGCTTCAGGTTATTTTGTAGAATTTATGGTTGAATTCTTCAAGGTTCCTCCCAAATTCCAATTGGCTTAAACTTACCTTACTGGATTCAGTTACCCAGGTCACTTTGCTCCTCTATTTTCGAATAGTTTGCTTAATAGTGACATCAAGTTTAATTATAAAGGATTTATAATTGAAAATGGATTATAAAGTATGCTACATTGAACTTCGTCAATATCCTCATACTTATATGTGAATGGATATATAAGTGACGAATTTAAGCAAATTACTAAGAAAGATGAATAACTTTTATAATCGATGATATTAAAGTAGTAGGATAAATTAGCTGGATCAGCATTTACATCCTACTTTAATAAATTAGAAAATTTTGCAAAAATTGATGTATCAAATATCCTGCAGAAGAAATAAGATCAAATGAGTGGATAAATTTTATGAGTAAATATAAAGATTAATTTGGAATTACAAATACCATTACTTAAGTTTGTAATTAAGAAGTAAAGTAGCAAATGAACCTGATTTCTCTTTTGATTTGACAAAAATTATTGAAGACTTACTAAACAAAGGAACAGTTCTTTTCTACAATGGTTAGATGGATGCAAGCATTAATCCAGCTGGAACACAAAATTGGTTATCGACCTTCAAGTCAGATTAAATATATTAATGGAAATCAGCACAAAAATCTATTTTTAAAAAGTAATGGAAGAACAGTAGGCAATTTTAAGAAATTTACTATAGTAACAATTTACAATGCTGGCCGTGCTGCTGTTTTTGATTAACCATAAGTTTTATATGAAATGATTAATCTTCATCTTAATAAAGATGAATTTTGGAATTGATTTCGTATATATTTGAAAAATATCAGATATCAATGACTCCATATTTTATCATCTTTAACTAATATTAAGTATAAAATATTTATGAAAGCAATTTATTAATTTTCCATAATTAAGCCTTTAATAGTTTCTGGCCCTAGTGGAGTTGGCAAAGTACACCATTATTTTATTAAAGGGATCATTAGTCACCAGATTGCTATAAAATAGCCAAAACTTTGTTTACAGTGTGAGTCTGACTACTAGAAAACCAAGACCTAATGAGAAGAATGGTGTCAATTATTATTTTGTAAATAAAGATGTTTTTGACGAAAATATCAAGAACAATGAGTTTTTAGAGTTTTGTGAAGTTCATGGAAATCTATATGGCACTGCTAAACATCAAATAAACAATATCATAAAATAAAATAAAATACCTCTCATAGAAATAGATGTTTAAGGGGCTGAAAAAATAAATAAATAATTGAATAACTAATGCGAGAACATATTTGTATTACCACCATCTATCAGCATTCTAAGAGAAAGATTAATTGGAAGATAGACTGAAACATCTGACGTTGTAGAGAAGAGAATCAAAAACGCAGAAACTGAAATTGAAAAAGCTAAATCTTTTTAATTTTATCATTTCATTGTTAATGATAATTTTGAAACCTGTTATAAAGAGCTCCTTGAGTTTGTAAACAAAAAATATTAAAACCTCTGATTATTATCAATAAATTATTCATGAAAAATGATGATTGCTTCATTAATAAGAAGTGTTAGTATTTTATATTACAGAAGTAATAACTATGAAACATATTCAAAATATAAAATTGATCTCATTATTTTAGAAATATTAATTTGTTTAGAGTTTTTGAATCAAAATTAGAATATTTTTATGATAAGATTTCAAATTAAATCTACATTTTTGGTTTTTTGGTATATCTCGTGAAAAAGTTTCATTTATGTTAATCATTTAATGATATTTATTATTTCATCAAAAAAATCTCTATTTTTAAAGGAATATAGCTTATTATTAAATTTCTTTTATTAGTCTATCTAATTGATGAAAAATAAGAAAATTATCTCAGAATTTTTTACCCATAAATGCATTGTAAAAGGTACAAAAC